CTCTTGATGTGTCCCTGTATTCAGTGTGCTCATCTTTTGTCCAAGAGGTCAGCCCATTTTGTGGAGTGTGTTTGCTGTGCTTCACTTGGGGGCTTATGGGTACGATACGAGCAGTCTGTTGCACTTCCAGCTTTGAAGAGAGTATAGGTGTCCTCTGACCTCAGAGACACTTCTTGAGGTCCCTCCTTCCTCACTGGCACTTCTGAGTCCGAGGTGATGGCCAGAGCGTTCCACGGCCCAGGATGCTGGTCAGTTTCTTTGAATCACTTTCAGGGTGGGGACAACAATCCAGCCCAAGACCCTCTTCTTTACCCTGACCCTGTGGCCTACTTCCAGTGGGTCAGTGGCGTGGAAATGGCAGCGTTTTGGCCAGTGGTGGGTTCTGGACCTGGTTTTCTAACTGGTGGAGCAGTTTGGCCTTCGGTTCATCTCTGAGCCTCTGGGGGGAGGGAACTAGGTTATCTGTGCATTTCTAATGCTCTCTGGGGCTCTTACCCTGGTGTCATGCATAGAAGTTGGCTGTCTGTGAAGCTGAGAGGAGAAAGTTGCTTATTTTCCCTAAACTTTCAGTGAAATTGAACATTTCCTTTAATTATGAAGGTAGGCAACAAATGTCTGCTATCATCAGGAGCAGTCACAGGTGTTTCTCTGTTCCGTTACAGTTGTCACAGATTCCTTTTTTTTAGATTTATTTATTTATTTTAGAGCACACACAAGTTGGGGGAGGAACAGAGGAAGAGGGGCAGAGAGAATCTCCAGCAGACTCCCCACTGAGCTCGATCCCACAACCCTGAGATCATGACCTGAGCCAAAATTGAGTCGGACAGTCAACCGACTGAGCCACCCAGATGCCCCTGCCCCCAGCTTTTTTTTTTTTTTTTTTTTTTAAGATTTATTTATTTCGGAGAGATGGAGTGCGAGTGTGTACCCACGCTACCGCCAGGAGCGGCAGAGGGAGAATCTCCCCTAGACTCCCTGCTGAGCACGGAGCCTGCCATGGGCTCCATCTCACGACCCTGAGATCATGACCCTGAGCTGAAACCAAGAGTCGGAGGACACTCAACCGACTGAGTCCCCCAGGCGCCCCCACAGTTGTCACAGATTCTTGGTCTGTCATGTGCCCCATTGCTGCTTTAGGGTTACCGTATTGTTAGACTTGCCAGATCTTGTTATTACACCGATAAAGAAAATCACATACTGTTACATCACACTGTCACTGCTTTAATATTTTGGTATTTTCATCCTTTGTCCTCCTGCATATTTTGTTATGCCTTTAGAACATCGTTCTGAGGGCGGCCCTGTTCTTTTCCACGTGCTAGAGGAGTCATTCATCTCATGACTAACGAGAGCTCCTGTCCTCGGGGGTGATTTCATACCTCCCTGGGGACTCGGAGTCCTGCCTCTAAGAAGGTGGGCATGGGCTCCTGGGTGAGAGGAAGCAGCAGGTGTCATGGGAGACAAGCCGACCCAGGCCCAGAAAGCCTACAACAACCACACAGCCCTAATGACATCATGATTCACTGTTTAAAGCCCAGCCATGGGCCGGGCTGGGAATGGTGTATACCTTTTAGACTTTATTTGGTGCATCATGTAGCTATTTTTTTTTAAAGATTTTATTTATTTGACAGAGAGAGACACAGCGAGAGAGGGAACACAAGCAGGGGGAGGGGGAGAGGGAGAAGCAGGCTTCCTGCCAAGCAGGGAGCCCAATGCGGGGCTCTATCCCAGGACCCTGGGATCATGACCCGAGCCGAAGGCAGACGCTTAACAACTGAGCCACCCAGGCGCCCCATCATGTAGCTATTTAAAAGCACAACACCTCTATATATTGTTTGATGGCCTGAATTATTTATTTAATTATGCATAAATACATCTTTCCATACAAAAATACGTTTTTAAAACTTTTTAATAGTAGCATTAAAAAAACAAATCTCAGGGGCACCTGGGTGGCTGAGTCGGTTGGGCATCCGCCCTTGGCTTGGGTCGTGATCCCAGGATTCTGGGATCGAGCCCCATGTGGGGCTCCTTGATCAGCGGGGAGTCTGTTTATCCCTCTCCTCTGCTCTCTTGCTCTCTCTCATCTCAGGTAAATAAATAAAATCTTAAAAAATAAAATAAAAAAACAAATCGCAGAAGCAACTCATGTTTACTATGCAGAATGGACACAGTAGAGGCAGTGAATTACCAAGTGGGGCTCCCGGGGTCCGTGTCGTCCTGCTGTCTGTGCTGGATCTGTCCTTGAGGACCAGGTGCCAGGAGTGGAGTTGCTGGCTCAGAGGGCAAGTTTGTTCTCTATGAATTTTGATGCTTTTTGGAAAATTGCTCCCCTGAAAATGACTCCCTTCTGAATCCCCACCAGTAGCACTGTGTGTGTCTTCTCAAATCTTTGCCAACAGTGTGTATTTCCTTTTTTATCTTTGCTGATTTGATAGGCCATCATGTTTTAATTTGCATTTCTTTGATTCATTGCATCATTGAATGGTTTCATTTGGTTTGGCTCTGGGTTTCTTTTTTCCTCTTATGAATCACCTCAGTGTTCTTGGCAGTATCACTCAGGGTCCTGGCAGGATGCAAATGCAGCCACAAAGTCTTTACAGGAAAATAACTTAATGAAGGGAGCAGTTACAGAGAGCTGGGCCGAAGAAGCAACAGGGCTGGATCCCCACAGTGGTACTGTGAGCCTCTCGGGCCCAGGGCAGGTTGGGGGCATCGTGGTGGGAGAGGGGTGCAGCGTGGGGTGAGGCAGAAGGAGTAACACCCATGGCTCTCCCCTGCCCCCCCTTTGGGGGCTCCTGCTGACTCCAGGGCTGTAGTGCCCAGGATCCCCCCCCGGAGCATCGAGGACAGAGAACACGTTTGGGGACACATGGGGAAGAGCGAGCACACTGGCTTCGTCCGTGTTTTCTTCCTGGGCATCTGCCTCAGAGGCCTTTGGACAGCAGTCAGGAGGTCTCCCCCGCGGCAAGCCCCCGCCAATTTAAGGTCTCCCCAGGGATGGTGAGCGGGGACGCGATGGCCTCTCTCAGCCCAGACGCCACGTGCTGCATTGGTGTGGCTGGGCGCCCTGGTTTCCGTTTGCATTTTAATTCAGGTGTTGTGTTATTTATAGCCATATGCTGTCAAGAATTTTGTAGACAGACCAAACATAGGTCTGCTGTGTTTTGTCCCAGGAAGCTGTAACCTCAAGTCATTTCTCTGTCAGGACCAGTCTGAGGTGCCCAGTACAGAGCCTGCAGTCAAGTGCAGAAGGAGAAGGTTGCTTCCCCCGACTTAACACACACACAGCCGCGCAGGAAAGACGAAGGCACGTTCAGCTGTTCTCCCTTCCCCAGCTCCCCTTCCTCCAGAACGTCCCAGAACGGAGCTGGCTCCTCCTGTTCTATTTAGGGCCGTGTCTTCAGAGGGTCGGAGAGCGCTGTCCTAGGGAGGCTGCACGGAGGCCACCGAGGGCCTGGGGACGTGTGGGGCTGAAGAGCTCCTGCTGTTTGCAGCCTGCGGGATGCTTAGCTGCAGCCCTGGCGTCTGCGCACTAGGTGACCGGAGCTCCCTTCCACCCCCGTTGTGCCACCTGGAAATGTCTCCCGGCGTTGGCAGATGTCCCCTGGGGGCCTGTCTGTCCCCAGCTGAGAACCCTGCATAGAAAAGTTCAGACACTTGTCGGTAAGCCCACCCGGCAGGACCCTGCATGGGGCTGGTCGCTGCTTTCTGTGTCCCTGGTTTCAGAAGCGGCCTGGAGGTCTGGAGACCATTCGCTGGTAGGTGTGTTGCTGTGATGTTTTACTTCTTAGGTCAGTTCAGGAAAATATGTCCTTAGGGACAAATGCTTTTAGCAGGGATTATTAAAGATAATGAGAAAAAGGACCGTTTGATCTGCGAAAGGGTCAGGCTAGGTCACGGGGCTTGTGTGCCCGGAGCAATATGCTTTTGAACCGTGGTTAGGTCTCCTGTCTGCCACGGGTTGCTGGGACAGGAGACAGGGCCGTGCTGGAACCTGCTGCTGGGAAAGGTGGTCTCCTCCAGGGGCCTGTCCGAGCAGGACCAGAGCCTTGCCAACAGCTGTTCGGTGTGGGTACAGGGTACTCTCTATGTGGGGCCGGGTGTGGAAGGCCATGCGTGGCAGGTCACGGCAAGTGATGGCGGGGGGTGTCTCCCAGGAAGTGTCAGGGGTGACGCAGCATTTCACATGCTCCTAAGAGAAGGGTTTTGCTCTCAGACAGTGGGCAGTTGTCACATGGGAATCTCAGTCCTGTGTCTGTCGGTCACAGGGAAAGGCGGAGTGACTGTGCTGTCCTGCATAGCAGAAGACGCCCCATGCAGATGCCTCAGGAGCCATGTGGTAGAGCAGGCCGGCTCCTGCCCAAAGTGCCGCCCTGTCGGGGCTGCTTAGCTGCTCATGAGCGCCTGAGGACCTTGACGGCCACTGGGGTGACTCGGGTGTTGTTGTGTCATCTGTTTTGTGATGGGCGTGTCCAGAGGGTCCTGCTGTCACTGAACCTAGGAGTCTGTGGGTTGAGCTTGGTGAACCTGGTTTTGCACAGCCCAGTACCAGAGGCGGCAGGGTGTTCGGAAGGTTCCCTGGCCAGGACTCCTGGGTCTCACTCCCTTTATCGCCCCTAACCACCGTGAGCTGTTTGTTAGGGGGGGCGTAGCCTGCATGGGGTCGGGTCCGTTCCCACATCGCTGCGTTTCCCATCTGTGCCTGCTGTGTCTGCGGCTGTTTTAGGCACCACAGGTCCAGGAGTGAACTAAACAGATAAGCCCCCTGTCTTCAGGATGCTCCCAGCTAACAGGAGGCTGGGCGAACGCCTCTCTAGTGTGTCCGTGAGAGGTGCCCAGAGGACTGCGGCGGGCTGGCCTGGAGGGACTGCCCTGGCAGTCAGGGCTGGTGTCACGGAGCGAGTGACCTTTGAGCCAGCCCTTGGAGGAGAGAGCCCCAAGAAGGGGGTTTGAGGGGAGGGCCCAGGACTAGTGCTGTGACCGAGAGCTCAGTTACGCCTTGTGAACCATGACGTCCCTGATGGGTGAGCATCCATGGTGCAGCGTTGGTAAATGCTTGTGTCTCAGTGTGACCTTTCTCCCTTTTTTCTTTTCTCATCAGCCAGGGCCAACTCGTTTGTAGGAACAGCCCAGTATGTGTCTCCAGAGCTGCTCACAGAGAAGTCGGCCTGTAAAAGGTAACTCACTTTCATCTGATCCAGGATATTTTCTTTTCACTACAGTAGCTCTTACGTTTGTTTTTTCATGTACAGTTAATAGTTAAGGGAGTGCCTTTTATGGCCTTTATCAGTATCTTTCTTGGATAACCTGTGTGCTCCTTTATTGTTCTTTGTTATACTTCCTGGGGCTGTTGTTGCTTGATGCTTTGAGATTTGATCTTGTTCTTTAGGAGCAACTATTCAGTGGGGGAAAAGTGTGGCCAAGAGGTCAGTATTCCTTGCCGTGTCCCTGAGCCCTGGGATCCTTAGCGCTGCCTCCGGCTGGTGCCCCCTGGTGGTGGCAGCGGCAGCAGGTCAACTCTAGCAAAACAGGCTCTGCAGAGTGTGGGGAGAGGCCCGGAAGGCAGCCCGTGTGGGAGGGGGTGGAGCTGGTTTCCCAGCCAGGGCCCAGCCAGTGCGAGCCATCCCTCCCCAGTGCTTAGAACCAGCACAGGCCTGGAGCCACAGGGTCGAGGCCGTGAGTGGGGGCCTGAGTTTTGAAAATGAGAGGTGCATAGGTGAGGTTCTGCTCGCAGGAACAGAGGTCTGGAGAGTGAAGAGTCAGCAGCAGGGCAGCAGGGGACAAGGGGATGGGGATGCCAATGGCCAGGAGCAGGGAGAAGCCAGGAGAACGGTCTAGGGCGGGCCTGAGGCAGGCAGAGGACGGAGAGGTAGCAGAAGAGTCTGTGGTCTCAGTGTTGAGAGCCGTTCCAGATGACAAGTTCTGTGGCTGGAGCTTTTCTCTGGCTCCTTGATGCTGGGGGTGGGGGGGCCTCCCCCGGGTTGACTAAGGGCCGCGCCGTCAGTGTCCTGTACTGGCCGGCTGCAAGGAGCCACTTTCCTGAGAGACAGCCCTGCCAGAAGTGGCAGAGGAGTGAGTGGTTCTGGGGGTGGCTCTGTGTTTCTGAGTGTGACCGCTTTTTAAAAACTCTCTAGGGGTTGGAGCCGCAGGGCACACATGAAGGTGGGTGGGCCTCTTAGCAGTCTCTGGGTTCTTTTTGTTTTTTTAATCTTACTCAGTCCACAGATACTAAACTCTTACTGTGGGCCAGACATTGTTGTAGGGCAGGGCTTCTTAGCTGGGGCAGTTCTGCCCCCCAGGGCACATTTGGCCCTGTCTGGACACTTTAGGTGTCACCACTTGGCAGGAGTGGGAAGGGAGTGCTATTGGCGACTGGCGGGTGGAGGGAGGCCAGGGACGCTGCTCAGCCTGGTGAGATGCAGATACAGCTCCCCAGCAAGACTGAATAGGCTCCTGGTGTCCACGGTGCCGAGGCTGGGTGGTGGGTGCTGCGGGCCAGATTCTCGAAGCATACGTCATGGCTGCCTGAGGGCTAGCTTTTCCTCAATTTGGGGCTTTTAGGATGAAGTAGCCCTTTAGCACTGATGGCGGAAGGCCTCCAGCTCTGCTGGGTGAGATGGGAAGAGAGAGTGGCCGCTGCCTTCTGTGTGAAAACTGGAAGGAGCATGTCTACCCACATTCGCTTGTCCGTCATTTAAACTCTCCTGGGTGGGTGCGCTGGCAGTGGGGGCAGTGGCCTGCTGGGGGCGTGAGGGGGTAGCTCTGTGAGGGAGACAGCATTGTGTATCTTTTTATGCTTTTAAATGTTTAAGTCGTGATATTTATTCGAAAATAGTTAAGATTTGTTTTCTGATTCTAAAAGTGATACCTGTGTATTATAAAGAATTCTTAGAAAATATGGAGGATACAAGAGCAAGGACCACTCAGAGTCTGCAGCCCACTTACACCAGTGTCTTTGCAGTTAGTTATTTCTTTGTGTCTTCTGTATGTTCACGTGACTTCTGTTCACCTTGAGCCCTGTTTCTTGGGATTACGGAGCCAGCATCTCCTGTGTCCCTGAAGTCATCTGTAGACATCTCTGACACTGTGTGCTTCTGGCACATGGATTTACTGTAGGTCATTGAGTTCATCCTTTATTGTTGGCACTGAGGTGCTTTTCATTTACGTGGCACAATCTTGCGTGACTGCCACGTGCCGCACATGCCAGGCCCCAGGGAGGGGAAAGGTGCCCCTGCGTGTCCTGAGTCTGTGGGGTCTGCCTCACGGTCCTCCGCTTGGATTGCAGGAAGTGGAATGACTTGGTCTAACTTAGCATTTTAAAAATCCTTGGTACAGGGCGCCTGGGTGGCTCAGTTGGTTAAGCGACTGCCTTCGGCTCAGGTCATGATCCTGGAGTCCCGGAATCGAGTCCCGCATCAGGCTCCCTGCTCAGCAGGGGGTCTGCTTCTCCCTCTGACCCTCCCCCTTCTCATGTGCTCTCTCTCTCTCATTCTCTCTCTCAAATAAATAAATAAAATCTTAAAAAAAGTTAAAAATCCTTGGTACATACTGCTTTCCTGAAACGTTACACCGACTTCCCTCTTTAGTTTTTATTGTATTAAAAAACCATCTTAAGTGGTAGGAGAGCTGCTGGTGATAAACATTCAGATAATGCACAGGAGTGAGAAGAGCCCAGGCCCGGCTGTGTGGACAGTCCCGCTTCCTGGAGGTGGCAGCCTGCCCACAGCCGCCCGCTCAGTCTCTGGCTGCTGCCACTGCCAAGGGCCGAGGCTTTTCTGTTGGTGTCTGTCTTGTGTGGCTCCCCATTTTAACTAGACTGGATAGTAGAGAAAACCAAGTGTAAAACTAGTTATTGGGTAGAATGTAGATTCTCTCTTTTTTTTCTTTTTTAAGATTTTACTTATTTATTTGACAGAGAGAGAGACACAGCGAGAGAGGGAACACAAGCAGGGGGAGTGGGAGAGGGAGAAGCAGGCTCCCCGCGGAGCAGGGAGCCCAGTGCAGGGCTCAATCCCAGGACCCTGGGATCATGACCTGAGCCGAAGGCAGACGCTTAACAACTGAGCCACCCAGGCGCCCTTGTACATTCATTTTTTAAATGCCCTTCACTCCACTTGTATGTTGTGCCTCAGATTTCTGATCTGTTCTATCTTTTAACCCATGTGACACGCCCTTCCTGCCCCTGGCGCTGCGGCTGGCCTGACCCTTCCACCCGCACCCTGCAGTCTCATCTCCTGAATGCCAGGCCGTGGCCTCTTCCAGAAGCTGGTTGTATGCAGCAGCCCATGAGCCTGTGTACATTTAGGGCTTGGGGGAGGCAGCTGGCGGTGTGGGATGAGTTGCATCTGGATGCTTTTGTAGTGCTGAGCTGGGAGTAGAATGAAAAACTTCCAGGGGCGCCTGGGTGGCTCTGTCGGTAAGGGAGAGACTTGTGTTCTCTCTCTCTCTCTGTCAAATAAATAAATAAAATCATTAAAAAAAAAGAAAAACTTCCAGAGGAAAGAAAATATGCAAAGTTGATGTCAGCCATGAGCTCCAAGAGGGCACTGAGGGGCGAGAGTGAGCAGGGTGGGGTGGGAAGGGGGCGGTGACATCACAGGCAAGGAGAGCGTCCCCTCCAGGGTCCCTGCTAGCTGGTTCTGGAAACAGCTTAGGGAAGTTTAGAACTGTTTCTTCTAAAATGTGGAATTAAAATGTTTATGAAGGAGGGATAGGGCTTTTCACAAGTTCAAGAAGGGACAGAATTAAAGCTTGCTTTGTGCATATCCTGTGGATTGTCTCATTTGGCCCCTTGGCTTGCGTCTGTGTCCTGGGGGTAAACCCTGAGTGAGTTGCGAGAGAATCTAAGTTGATCCATCGCTGTACTGACCTGCAGTGAGTGCCAGGAGCCCCCTTACCAGCGCCACCACCTGCTGCCTGGCACTGGAAGAAGGTGCTTCACTGTCACTGTCAGTGTTTCTGTAGTCAGGAATGACCTCTGCTGTCTCTTCAGGTCCACGTGGGCCCTGTGAGACAGTTGGGGCCCCCCCGGCAGTGGCGGGTCTGTGGGAATGGCCGCATGGCCTGGCCCAGTAGTGCCTGCTGTGTGTGGGACTCTCCGAGTCCGGGTCCCCAGGGAGGCCCCTTCAAGAAGGACCCTGAGCAGGTTCCCACCCTCACACTGACCTAGTTTTAAAGAAGAGAAGTAGATCAGAGATGGGGCGGTAGAACCAGTAGGGCAGAAGTGAACTGTGCTTGTCACGGACATTTTACAAACGTCGTTCTTCTCTGTTTTTCCCCCCTCCCTTAAAGTTCAGACCTTTGGGCTCTCGGATGTATAATATACCAGCTTGTGGCAGGACTGCCGCCTTTTCGAGCGGGGTAAGACCACCCACCACCCCCAAGCCCATCGCAGCAGCTGCAGGAGAGGTGGGAGGGGGCAGCCCTGGGGCTGGGCCAGGGCTGGGCCAGGGTTCGGGGACTTCTGCAGCAGTGTCTCTGCAGGAGAGAGGGAGACTGCTGGCCCGGGAAAGGTAAAGCTCTGTGCTGGGGATGTTTGTGCACTCTGCCCAAGTGATGGTGTTTCTTGTTTTACAGAAATGAATATCTTATATTTCAGAAGATCATTAAGTTGGAATATGACTTTCCTGAAAAATTCTTCCCTAAGGCAAGAGACCTTGTGGAAAAACTTTTGGTAAATATTCTGAATTGTCTTCTGTAAGATGATCCGACAGCCACACTCTGAGTCCCTCTGAACTTGTGGTCAGAGCAGCTTTCCTGGAGGCCCCTGTGTTTCACAGAAGGGTGTCTTAGGGTTGATAATGAGTGTAGGTAAATTTTGTCATCTGATTACTGTAAGTCCTTTTCAATTTCCAAATGCCCAATTCTTGACTTTAGTAAGACAGGAAATCATTGTATCATTTTGCATTTGTTCATCAACATACATGGCATTTTAAGTTACTTGTTGCTGGAGCTACTGGGTGTATTACAGTGGCAGATAGCTCTAAATCCTGCACAGTGACATCTGTGGGTTTCAGCTTTAGAGTCTGCTGCAGGAAGGTTTTAAAGATCACCCAGGTACTATAGAAGAGGTAAGCGATTCACGCAGCAAAGGTATTTGAGTTTGTGTTTAGCAGCTGCAGTGTCCCTGCCCTGGTGTGCACGGGTGCTGGACCTCCCCTTCACTTTCCCTTCGTCTTGGGGACAGGGTCAGTCCTGTGTCGGCCTGCCTCTCCAGGGCCTGTCCCTTCAGCAGGCAGCGTGTTGATGCTTGGTGGGTCTAGGGCCGTAAAGCTGAATCTGGGAGGAGACGACTCTGGGGCCCTTTGAGATGAAGCACGGTTGGGAGAAAACAGCATTTTGAGTTCTGTCCGTGGTAGCTCGCCATCTAGACAGATTCTTGGTCTCTTTGTTATTAAAGACAGTATGTTTATTTTTTTCTTGTTGTAGGATTTTTTATTGTGTATTTTAAGAGAACACTTGATGCTATTCATTAAATTTTGAGTTATTTTCACCTATGCAAGGGGAAGGCTAGGAGCTTGAGAGAGGTAAACGAAGCCCTGGGGGTGACTCTGCTGTCCACGGCATGCTGTGGGATGGGGCGGGACAGGCCCTAGTGCCCTCCTTTGTCTGAGATGAGAAGAATTGAAAAGGAGTACTCAAAAAGAATGTTTTTGTCAAATACTTTTCGATCCAAGCACTGACTTGTGTTGACTTCTGCTTCAGGTTTTAGATGCCACGAAGCGATTAGGCTGTGAGGAAATGGGAGGGTACGGCCCCCTGCGAGCTCATCCGTTCTTTGAGTCCATCACGTGGGAGAACTTGCAGCATCAGACGCCTCCGAAGCTCACCGCCTACCTGCCAGCCATGTCGGAGGATGACGAGGACTGCTACGGAAACGTAAGCCAGCCAGCATGTGCATGCATGTGCGCGCGTGTACGCGGTGTGTGTGTGGGGGGGGTGTGTGCATGCGTGAGTGGTGTTTGTGCATGTGTCTGGCAAGGGGAGCGTGTGCGTGCACACGCACGTGTGTGTCAGGAACAGCCCCGCAGTGCTGTGTGCCACCATTCCTCGGTGCACAGGGAGTCCTTGCCATGGGCCCTGGGAGCCCAGCTTGTGGAATGCATGGCTGGAGGGGAGGCCAGTATAGACGTGTTGGTGGCTGAGCCCTGTGCAGCCCCTGGCTGAGTTTCCCCAGTTCCGGGGCCAGTGAAGCGTCCACCTGCCCATCTGCCCCAAGCGCAGATTGCCAGGCTGGGGGGGGTGAGGGCAGTCTCCTTTTCTTACTGTAGTTAGTTTTCCCCCAGAGGCAGCATGCTGTTGGGTCAGGGAGACTGGAACCCATGGGAGCAGCACCCTCCATGCTGTCCCCCTGGGCTTCTGTCTTCTCCTTTTGGCTGGTGCTTTGTAATTGTGCGTCTAAAGACATTCTGGAATGCTTCTCATCTTCCAGAAGCCCAGGGTGCTGCTGCTTTGAACTTTTGGGGGACACTGGTCACTGTTAGCCTTTCGTGCCTAGTAGAGGTGGGGTCTTGAGTATATTTGTTGTTTGAACGTTCCTTATGGAGGATGTGAAGACACGGAAGTGGGCAGAGGGATACAGTGAGTGGCCATGCACCCCCCTCACACCACCAGTGACCAGCTTCTTGGCAGTCCTGTGCTCCCTCCTCACCCTCCACCATGACTCCCCATGTTTAAATATGATTTCCCATGTTTCTGTTACCATCCACAGTCCGTTCTCTTGGTGTAACTTCTGTCCTCATGGCTTATTCTAGCCAATTCCCGTGTATAGAGTGCCACATTAGTTGACTGGGGAATTTAGATTTTATCTAAAAGTCATCCACAGCTTAGTTAAAATTACTGCTCGTATCCTCTGAGACCGAGTTTCTTCTGTCTCCTACTTACTGTTGTGAACACATTACCCTTTCATTGTCCTAAAATATCCTTTGTGCCCAGACTTGAAGGGAGTCGGATGTGGGTAGCCATCTGGGCTCACTTCTGGCCTGCTTCCCCCACCATGGTGGTCTCAGCTGTCGGCAGCCTCCACGTGTGCAGACCGCGGGGGACCCCACCACAGGCCTCCGTCCCCCGGGCCTGACGTCCTTCTGGAGCCGTGGCCAGTGAAGCAGCTTGCTCCGACTGCCGGCTCTGCAGGGGCCACTCATGCCATTGTTGACTCGGGGCTCAGCTTCGTGGAGCTGTGTGTGCCTGTGCACGTGTGTTACACGCACGGTGGAGTGTCTTGGGCAGGCCTTCTGTCTGCTGGTTGGTTGCATTCACCTCGCTGCGAACCCTGGCTTCTCAGTACTCAGGTGTGGCCATCTTAAAACCAGCTCCATTGGTTAATGGCTTACTTTCTGTTAGATGGCGCATCCTCAGCTTTCAAAGCTGTGTGGTTTGAAAGCCTTGGGGAGGTATTCAGGCAGCGCTCGCTGTACCAGACTTTGCATTTGGACAGTGAAGTGAGCCTTGACCTGGGAAGGTGTCCAATACGGGAGGGGGCACTCCTATTCTGTGGGTGTTGACAGTCTTGCAGGGGCATGTTCTCATCCACAAGGCCCCAAGAGAGTCTGGGGTCCTTTTCAGCAGGAAGGGGGCTCCCTCTGGGGGCAAAGAACTGGGAACTGTGTTTGCTCAGGGAATGAAGAGAGCGGGCACTTGGTTCTCTTGTGTGTTCTTAATCTGCTGCTGTGGCTGGTGGTGGTGCTGGTGGTTAGACCCTGGAGGGGGTGTGCCAGGTGTGGCACCCTTGGGAAAAGCCTCCGTGCTGGAGCATCATGGGGAGTTTCCTTAGTGCGCGCCGGCAGGTACCCCCATGCCAGCCAGCGTCACCCCTTGTCACTCGCTCTTTCTGGGCTTGCGTTTTGTGCTGCGGGTTGTCCTAGATGCTACCCAGGATCGAAGAGCAGAGAGCTGAGATACATCTGGAGCTTTCTGTGGAGCGTGGTAGGAAAGACGTAGAGGACCGGTTCTAATTCGGTGCTAGCTAGCAGGCTGTGGTCTTGGGGCAGTTCCATGCCTCAGTTTCCCTGTTTTAGAAATGGAGATGATGGAGACATCCCGTCTCATTGGCCTTGCAGCTCCTGAGACACCTGGCAGTGGAAGCCTCTGTAAACTTTGGGATGTTGAGCAGAGGTGGCCTTGGTCCAGGGAGTCCTCACAGAGCAGAAGCAGAGAATGTGCTAGAAGAAGACCTTACTTAGATGAGAGGCCGTAGGAGTGTCCAGCCAGGGTCAGTTCCACCCAGGAGCCAGTGAGGTGGGTCTGAGCCTGCTGTCTGTGCAGTGTGAGCACCTGGGAGAAGGCCACTCCCGGCAGTGAGTCAGGAAGGTGGGAGCATGGTCTGCAGGGGTGGGGGCGGTGTGCTGTGTCCAGGGCCCACCTTCAAGGGTGGCAGCAGGGGCCTTTCTGGACACACAGGGGACTTGGAAGGACACACGGGCTCTGGTCTCAGCCCTTGCTGGTGGCTTCTTTTCCCTTATATTTGGCTGCAGTGGGGTTTAGGTGTGGGGCCTGCAGCTGTGGGGAGCAGGCCGTCAAGGGCGAGCACTCTTCCTTAGGTCTTTGTTGGGGGCTCTCTGGCCCTCTCACCGGCCCCAGGGGTATCTGAATGCACAGGCACTTATGTGAGTAAGTCCATTTTCGTGTTACCACCGGTTTATAGCTTTCTCCAGAAGAGCAGGCAGCTTTTTATCAAATTTAATTAATATTTGCTAGAGTTAAAAGGGATATATATTTTTTTTAAATTGAACACAAATTGGGACAAATGACAACCACAGACTTTTAGAAACGTCAGGCCACAGGGTCAAGGAGGAGGGCTCCTGAGCTTACAAGAGGATGCCTCTGCACCCAGGAGGCCATCCATCCCTCCTCTTCTTTCCTCTGGTTGGGGTAGCCCAGGGCTTGCAGGGGTCAGCAGTCCCCAGGCCCTGGGTCTCCTCTTCCTGGGGATGAAGACTGGGGGTCAGCCCATCAGGAGGGGGATCAGACCTGGCAGCACCCAGCCCTGCCTTGGTTCAGGGGCTCACCATCTGGTGCAGGAGGAGTCAGAGCGGCCACGGGGGCCTCAAGACCTCCAGGGCGTGAGCTTGCTGGGTCTGGGCTGGGGGCCCAAGGGAAATCGTGCGTGGCTCTCACTCTTCCCTCTTCTCTGTGCAGTACGACAACCTCCTGAGCCAGTTCGGCTGCATGCAGGTGTCCTCGTCCTCCTCCTCCCACTCCCTGTCCGCCTCGGATGCAGGCCTGCCGCAGATGGCGGGCAGCAACATCGAGCAGTATATCCATGACCTGGACACTAATTCTTTTGAACTGGACTTAGAGTTCTCTGAAGATGAGAAGAGGTTGTTACTGGAGAAGCAGGCCAGTGGAAACCCTTGGTAAGAATCCATAGATGTAAGCTGTGCTCCATTTAGAAGAGCGGAGCCAAGCGCGTGGGAGTCGAGCAGCGGGAGACCGAGAGCACGGGCGCCCGCCCTCCATCTCCACTGCCTGCCAAGGCCCCGTATCACCGCACACCTCCCTTGCTGCCATTAATGCTCGGGAAACAAGGACCCTCAAAGGGTTCAGCTTGAATTAGGGGTTTGGAGGTGTTGGCCTGGGGATGAGTGGGTTTGAGACCCTCAGGGCTCAGTGAGCCAGGCCTTGTCAGCATCAGTGTTCTGACGTGGATTTACCACCGACCAAATGACCACCGCTCCTAGGTGGGGCGTGTGGGGCATTCTAGAGTTTTCACTATTGCAGATCATCTTTTGCATGTAGGTTTTCCCACTTGCCTGGGTGTTTCTCGTAAGAGGGGGCCCTGGGTTGGCAGGTGGAGTGGGTGTGAGCACATGTGAGGATGCGGTGCTCTGTGTCCACGGTGCCAGGGAACCCCTGTCTCCCAGCACTCTTGCCTCTCCTGAAGCACTTTGATGCTCTAAAAATGGGTCATGGGAATTTGCATCTGTATCCTGGTTGAGGCAAACATCATTGGCCGTTTCTATTTATCTTTCGAGGTACTTGGTCTTCTTTGACTATTTTTCTTCTTGTACATTTTCCATCTTTTCGAAATTGACTCTGAGAGCCATGGATGCAAAGAATATTTTTGTTGTATGTTTCACAAACATTTTTCTTCAGTTTGTCTTTTCAGTTTTTTGTGTGTATTTTTGTATAGAAGTTCTAAATTCTTACAAAGTCAAACGCATCTGTGTTTTTATTTTCTGTTTTCCATCTTGGTCATGTTGAGAAGAGTGTGTCTACCCTGACACTTTTCTTCATGCATTTTTATGGTTTCACCTTTCACTTGGGCGGAGGGGAGTCCGGCGCAGGGATGAGCAGGGAGGTGTGTTGGGGTAGGCATGGGCATGGAGGGAGAAGGCAGGCTAGTTGGAGGACTGGGCTAGGCGAGCCTGGAGGAGTAAGAGGAGGAGGCAGGGTGCAAAGGAGAAGGAGTGGGTGATGAAGCCAGGATTGCAAACCATTAGAAATGATCGTCTCTAGTAAAAGTATAGTTAGACGTCAGCCAACTGGAATAACCTACACTTCTCGGGAGTTTACCCTTCCTAAAGTGGTGTTGCTTAGCAGTATCAGTGTGTACGGAGTAGGGAGGAAGAGGCTTTGGTCAGGATGGTGTGAGCACCACCAGGCCGGGCACTCCGGGCAGGTCTGTGCGCCGAGCTTCCTGGGCCCGCTGTCGTGCAGCCTTGGGGTGACTCCCCAGAAGGCTTTTGTGCCTTTGCCTAGGGCCTTCCCTGAGGCCCTGCAGCCTGGGTTCTGGGCAGGACTGAGGCCTCTTGCCTTCCCTCCCTTTGTTCTGGCTTCTCGTCCCTTCCCTCCAGGTTCAGGCTCTCTGGGCTGGTGATTCTCGAAGCTTGCAGCATCTCTTATTTGGCAGGGCAAGATCTTTGTTCTTACGACAGGGCTCTCAGTGTACAGCCCAAGGCGCATGGTAATAATTGTGAAATAGCATTAAGAGGATCCTTGCTTTCTCCCTCTCATTCTCTGAGTGTGTGCAGTGCACGTCTTCAGAGGCTGCACCCTGGACCATGATGTTGTTGCTTTGGCAGCTACTGGGCTGTGTGCTTCGTCTTTTTTGAATCTACAGGAGTAGGTTTACAGTATAAATACGTGCAGCTTTAGAGATTTAGTGAATTCTCAGTATTCCTGCTGGGCTCTTAACTGTCTTCAGTTACATCTGCTATAATCACTGTAACTCGGTGTCATCTGGTAAATCCTTGCTTTGAAATCCTGAAGTTTTCCTTAGGCTTACATGGACACACAACAGGATCTCAGGGCACTTTGCTGACTTGTTTTGCAATAAAATTTAAAGATTTCTGAAAAACATTTCTAAATTTCATCTGAAATTATCATTGTAGATCTTAATGATATGTTCTAAAACAAAAGGACATTTATAACATTTTTCATTTTGACTCAGAGAGAGATGTGCTTTCTCAGCCCCCAGCAGCGCCACCCACATTCAAGGGCTATCAGAGCGCTCTCCGGTGCGTGTTCCGGAGACACTGGGCAGAACTGTAGATACGGAGCTACAACAGGCCAGGGCTCTCTTCCCCTCATACGCGGGACGTCAGTGCCTTCCGTCCGTGTCTCTGAACAGAACGGTTTTGCATACTGTTCTGGTGCCGGTGGAACTGCAGCGCCAGAGGCCTGTCATTCAGAGTTGGAACGATAAACGAATAGCTTGTTGTAAGTGTACATGTGAGGAGCTCTTTCAGAGCCAAACTTCAGAAGCCGCTGTGGCATCTTCAAAGTTACGTTGTCCAGGCTGGAAAAGTGCACTCGACAGCTGGGAGGCCAAGGAGTGTTGGGCCGTTGACATGGTGGAGTGCCGGCCAGGTGACAGTCGGGGTGAAGAGTCCCGGCACTGCCACAGGCCCTGGTGCAGCAGCTCTCTGGGCTAAAGAGGCGGCTGCGGACACCAGGAGTGAGTTGGCATCCCTCTGGCCAAGTTATATTTTTCCTTACGAGTGGCTAAATCTCCAGATACTGCTCATATTGCAAGCATTGAACCAAGTGTGGTCTTCAAGTCTCTGAGCCCAAAATCACATATTTAGGAAGAGAAAAGCTAACTGCGGTCCATGCACATGGATGAAAACTAGAGGATCATTCATGGTTAATCACACTGTGGTGTTGAAAGCTCTAGAAGCCGGAAGTCACAGGCCTTTAGGTCTTTGTGGATGTCCCGCAAGGTATCTACACTTTTCTTGAGCTGAGCAGCCTCATCATCCTTCAGCTTCTGGCTGATCGCCCTGGTTAATCCCTGAGCATTCAGGATACATGGAAAGCTCAGGAATACTTTGTTCTCAGTGCCATGCATTCCCTGCACCATCGTCACCGGACGAATCCTGGCTAGATTTTCAATGTGGATTCAGTGAGTTCAGCCATATTTAATCCACTAGTCCAGTTGGTATGTCCTTTGAGTGTGATGACTTCATAGGCACTTTGAACCACCCTCGTATGCACTCCCTTCCAGTTTCCACCGCCACCATCTGTTCCCATTTCTGGATTCAGTTCCTGGGCACAAATGCCTGCTGCATTCACTCCACTCCACACATCCACTTTTGAGTCGCCATGTTCTCCCAAAGTCCATCCATGGCAGCTGCTGGGATGAGTGCCAAGTGTTTCAGCCGTAAGATAGCGAAATCTAACAGAATCCAGATTATACCCACTTACAATCACACAGTGCTTGCGTAGTCCCCTTAGTTTCCAAATCACATATGTGAGACCTCCCGCTGGGTTGAAAACCACAGTCACAGGACCACCAGGACCATACTGGACTATCCGAGGGACGGTGAATTGGAAGACACTGACATTCCTCTGCACCAGACTGAGCCGGCTCTCTCCCTCCTGCTGGGGGACCCCTGCAGTTACCACCCCAACGCTAGAGTCAGCGGTCCTAGAGTAGTCTTCACCTGCCGCAGTTTTAGCTGTCTGAAGACACAAGCTCCCATGTTGCAGACCCATCATTTCTCCCTTGAGTTTATCTTCCAAAACATCCACGAGGGCAGGTTCATCAGCCAGAGAGTTTCCCAGAATGCTTACGGCACACACCATACCAACTTGTCCGGCACCCACCGGAGTGATCCTACCGTTTGGGAAGGTTGCCTCTTCTGCAGTTGCAGTCAGTTTCTCCGTCAGAGTCGCACAAAGAGCACAGTGTCAGCTGCGCGCGCCTCCTCAGGCGCAGGTCAGGGTCTGCCTCGAGTCCTGCTTTGGAATCTCACTGCCTGTTCTGGAACAGATGTGTTGTTGACCTGTGCACCAGTGCTGCGGAAGCAGTGGCTGGCACAGCCTCGGGGGCAGGTCAGGAGTCCAGGCTGTGGCACCAGGCGGTGCTCGAGCACCTGGGCTTTCCACGCACACACGGGAAGAAAAGAAACCAGGCTCACTTGGGAGTAGTCGTCAAAAATTACTGGTTTTATTAGTAGTCTGAATGCAGTGGGAAGTCTGCAGGAAGCATCTCTGCTGCCAAGCCAAAGGTGAGTTCTCTCAAGCAAAGCAGTGGTGTTGGGAGTGCGGTCAGCTGCTCTTTGCATGCAAGACCGTTTTCACTACAGTGTTTTACCGGCAAACTGGGGTTATTCAGACTTGCCCGTTGGGCCGTTTTTTCTGGAAAAGGAGTGGAATGAGCCCATCCTTTAAGACAAACAACTGCCAGTATTTGTTACCAGTGATAAAATCAAAATTAGGATTTGGGGAACCTTTATCCCTCACTTGAGTTTGACATCTTCCCAGGACTTAAAGACTTGAGGAGAGAGGTCATGACGGTAATGAGTTGATTGGCGGATATCGTGGGAGGTAATTTGTCGATGTTGGGGCGATTTCCATGACTCGGCAAACCACCGTTTTCCAGGTTGGGTGCTGGGGGCAGAGCTGTTCAAAGTGCCAGGTACACCGATGAGTTCTAGTGTCTCAGAGTGTGAGAGAGCCGTCGTGGGACTCCAACTCCAGGTTGGCAGTGGACCTTGAAGGAACTCCGCTTGTTGAGTTTGGGTGCATTATCAAAGAAGAACGCCCATCGTCATCTGAAGAGGCTTTTAAAGGCACTCCTTCCTGTTCCAGCTACTTGACTCAGTGAGGCTGAGTCCTTCGTGTGCTCTAGCCTGCACAGCGGGGCACAGCCCAGTGAAGGCTGGGGCAGATGGGGGTACCCAGCTGTCTTCTCTGAAGCCAGATATTAAGGAGATTTGCAAAATGTACAGTGGGGTCATGCTTCCCATGACTTATCTTTGTTTTGGAAAAAAGTTACTCTTGAATAAAAATGTTATTTATATTAGTATGTGATGGTTTTATTTGTGGTTTTTAATGAATTAAGTATTTAAAAATGTCTCTCTTAATTTCTCCTACCTAAATATCAACGTGTAACTCCAATAAAGGAAATCTCTTTGGGATCTTCCATCAAGTTTGAGGGTGTAAAGGGGTCCCCAGAGCTGGCATTTTAGAGCAAACTGGCCACAGTCGCTTGTTCTTCCATCCCCTGGGTCAACGCCCAGTGTGGAGAGGCTTCCTGAGGTGGTCAGAAGAGCCGCCTTGGGGTTCTGGCCGGCTCGCTCGGCTTCCCTGGGAGTGACTGTGCCCTGAAGTGGCTCAGACTTGCTTGTGGCCTCAGGCTTGCATCTTCCAAGATGACCTTCTTGGGGCCTGGGGGTTGCTGGAGGGATAGGGTGAGGAGGAGAGAACCCTGGCTTTGGGATCAGGAGGAAGGAGTACCTTGACAGCATCCCCCCTAGGAAAACGACCATGGGCAAGCCTGCGTGGACATCGGCACAGAGCCAGTGGTGAGCGTCACTGTGTGGTCAGCACAGCTGCGGTGACCTGCCTGCTGACCACACTCTGAGAGTCTCTGACTCGGGTCTGGCTTCAGCTCCAAGTCTGCGGACAGCATCCACCATTTGCCAGCAAGGAAAACGCGCCTCATGCGCAGGGCGGGGGGTGCATTTTCAGGGGAGTGGAAATTGACTTTTTGAAGTAAAAAATTGAAAATGACTCCTTTAATAAGTACTTAAACTTTTCAAGGTAGCTCACTAGCAGCCTGTTGTAAGCTAATTGGCAAATGCACTGCCCGATCGGATTGTGGCATTTGTGCTAATAATGGAGCTTCTAAGCCTCTCTGCGTCCTGCCTCGGGGTCGTTTCACCCCAGCCACTGGATCCAGTCAGGAGCCCACATTGTCTGTCACTGCCTGGGAGGAATGCGAGAGGCGGAGGCTGCGCTTGTGCGCGTGTGACAGGGCCTGAGAGCGTGCTGGTCCACGTAGTCAGGCTGGGCTCTGTCAGTGGGGTCCTCACGGCAGGGACGAGGAAGGGGCTTGCCTGCTTCCCTGCGGTGCCAGAATGTTCTGTTGCTGAGCCATTGCTGTGGTTTCGGTTTCACTGTAATACTATTGTTGTGGACATCTGTGCTTCTAATCTTCATTTTTCTTTACCTCCTGAGGGTAAATGGCTGGGAGTGGGATTACGTCTCAATACATCATTTCCAAATTGCTTTTATTTATTTATTTTTTTAAGATTTTATTTATTTATTTGAGAGAGAGAGAATGAGAGAGAGAGAGAGAGCACATGAGA